GTACCGAGGATTGAACTCGGGTCCTTGCACTTGCAAGGCAGGCCACCGAACTGCTGAGCTAAATCCCCGGCCAAGGAATTTTTATATAGTATCAATGTATATACTTTTTATGAATGTGAGCTGTCTCCTTCCCCTTTCTTTTAAGGAAATAGGGATAGCTAATGACGTATTTCCAGGGTTGGAGATGATACCTAGGGTTAACACATTTTAGGGCAAAAAGAAGCCTCTTCCTAGGACTTTTCTCAGACAAAGATTCAAAATTATTCTTTGTATGACACTCAATCTATTTGGATTTGATTTTTGCACAAAGTATGAAATAGGCAATCTGCATTTATAGTAAATGATCCTGGCATCATTTATTAAAGTGTTCATTGTTTCCTCATTGATCTGCAATGCCAGCTATTTTATAGCAATGTTTCATATGTGTGTGAATCTTTTTCCATGTTCTTTTCTAGTCTACTGACATATTTCTATAACAACACTGTGCTGTCTTGAAAATTACTGATTTTTAATAGATCTTAATATTTGGTCCCCAAATCTCCCATCTAATTCTTTTTCAAGGGTATCACAGGCTATTCTTAATCCTTTACTCCTACATATAAACTTTAGAATCATCATTTTACTTTCTATTGAAATCCTTTTAGGACTGTGATTGAATTTTTATTGAATTTCCTCATGGATTTAGGGATTATTGACAAATTTATTACATTGTCTTCCTTTTTAGGGACTTGAAATATTACTGTGTTTATGTAAATCTCCTGTGTTGTCCTTCAGTAATTGTTTTGTTTGTTTTTTGCTGCTAGGTGTCATGTGTTAGAAAGGTGAAACAGCATAATATAGAATATGGGAGCCAACACAATGCTTTCACAACAGTGCTTCTCAACCTAAACCATGCCCTTTGTCTAGACACGAATCTTCCTATTCTCTCGCAAGATCTTAGCAATGAGTTAGGGAGAGCTACAGAGCAAAGAGCCTCCAAAATTCAAGATAAGAACATGTGCTGAATTGGGAAATTCATTGGGAAAACAAGTTGATGTTATATAAAATTGCTAGCGTATTTTCTGACTACTGAGGAACAATTCTATTCCTTACTCCTGTTAAACATAATAAATACTAGCAAATTGTGACTGCTTAGACATAAATTAAAATTAAGTAAAAATTCATTTCTTCAGTTGCCCTAGCCACAATCCAAATGCCTGATGTCTGCATGTATTTCCTGTAGTTACTGCATCGGACAGCTTAGACAGAGGACATCTCCATCATGACAGAAAATTCCACTGACTGGCACTTCCAAGATAATCTCTTGAACAACAACAAAAAAATATATAGAGTAAGATTATTCATGATAGCACCATATATTACAAGAAAAGAGAAGGAAATAAACCAAGCGTCTATCAATAGTAAAACAGACAGCTCAGACTTCATACATTTACAAAACTGAGAACTAGTGTTCAGTAAAAATCAATGTACTATAGCTATACACATCAGTGTGTGTGCATTGAAAAATATTCTGCTGTGCTCAACAATGCAAGTTATACTATATATATATATGTGTGTGTGTATACAGGCAGCGCCTGTCACATACCTTTGCATTACCTCATGGGTGGGGATTATTGACACTTTTCTTATGTTGTCTTATTCTTTATGGACTTGAAGTGCTGCATTTATGTTGGTCTTCTTTTTTGTCATTTAGTAATTTTGTTGTTTTTTGCTTCTGTATACCATTCTTTACATGGGTCATATCACATATTATAGAGTGTGAGAGCCAACACAATACTTTAAAAACAGTATTGTTATCACATTTGGTCCAAGATTTACCCCTAAGTCATGAAAAGATTCTGAGTAGATAGTAAGTATAATGCAATGCTTCTGAAGTGGGATTAAAAAGGGGAGAATTCCATGAACCAAGACTCATGTTCAAAGACCTCTTAACTTCACTGGGCTCTTGTCAGTCAAGGGAGGTCTATTGATTGCATCTGTTAGGCTCTTCCCATTATTCACAGGCAATAGCAGAATTCATAAGGGTGCTGTCTAATGGTTCTAGATTGGATCACAGGTCCTTCTGAGAAGCCAGTGAAGTTCAATGTTAAAACCTTTAACTTCGTACAATGATGGAATTAGTACCAAACTTTGTAAAGCAGGGGCTCTAGAGTATTTTGTGATATGATTGAAAACTATAATGTGTAATGAGTATTTTGCTTTTCATATGTGTGGGATTTCTCCATATGTTTTTAGGTGTTTATTTTTTCATAGTTGGTTCCATAGCACAGTGACCTTCAGTCTATTCTGAATGAATTGTGACACATTCCAAATGGTTGGAACATGAAATAATGATAGTTGCAAAATAATAGTATAAAAATAATAGGATAATAGGAAAAATCAAGATGATGAAAAGAAGGCAAAGATATTTAGACCTTTCAAAGTCAGATGAGGGCCAGGGATTTAGCTCAGTGGTTCTGCCGCTGCCTGGCAAGTGCAAGGTCCAGAGTTCAATCCCTAGTACCAAAAAAAAAAAAAAAAAAAAAAAAAAAAAAAAAAAAAAAAAAAAAAAAAAAAAAAAATGTAAAAAGCGAGATGAGAGTCATCAGGAGAAGCTAGAAAAAAAATCATGGGCTAAAGAGATTCTACAGCTGAAAATCTAAGGTTTCTTATGCCTAGAAGATCAAGAAAGCTTATGCCTCTTTCCCTCAGGCATGAAGTCCATTCTCCTTTCTTGTCTACCCTGGCACAGATGTGGTATATAAAGATTTTTACTAAAGATGCATTTCAAGATGTTGTAGGTTGTGAGATGTTCTAATGGTCATTTTCACATTTTATCTTCTAATCAACTAAAAATTTCGGTGAGGAAATGATCCAAATAGTTAATTTCTCTTACATCAATTACAGGAAAGACAGTGAAATCCCTTTTATAGTTTTTCCCCGAGAATGTAGAATTCTGCAACATGGATGCATGTCTGTCCCTCTGACCTTTGAAAACAGCGCACTCGAGGGCTGTGAATATAACCACTTGTGCTGCTGTCCTGTGGCAGTTACACACACATGCCTGGGTTCAGAGTTTTGGAGTGTGCGTTGACATCTGTGTGTGTGTGTGTGAAGATAAATGGGTCCTCGTTTTGATCAGGATATGATACAGACACCTTCCTGGCATACTGTCACATTAAAAGACACCACCCACAGAATGGGGTTGTGGCTTTTGGACTCACTCACTCACTTACAGACCTGATCACTGTATATATGTCTTTTTACTATAGGAGCAAAAGGTTTAATTAAAAATAGAATGTTGAATTAAGATCAACTACTAGACACATGGACAATGACTACTACTGAACAATTCTTTCTATGGCAAATAAAAATTACTATAAAAATTTATAAGGCCAGGAGTAGAAAGAATCGGAAGATGACTAGAAACCTTGAGGAGCCTGGAAAAAAAAAAGGCAGTAAAGGGTACTGTGGCTAACTGATCAGAATAAATATAGGAGCATTTTTAAACTTAGACACCAAGACACTATTCTAGGGAATCTACTTATGGTCATTTGGACATGGTGGCAGGCTGCCTGAGTTGTTCTACAGGGAATGCACTGAACAAATAAAACAGACATCATTACCATTGTCCCAGAGGGAAAGCCATCCTTGGAGTTGTCCACAAGGTCATCCTGATCACACCATGGCTACTCCTGCCACCACTTAGGACTGAAAATGACAAGCCTGATTTGTCTTTCTCAAACTGAATACAAAATTAATTTTACCATTTTTTTTCCAGACCAAGGCACTTTGCAGTTTTCACCTGACTAGTAATTTTGTTTACCAAGCTTTTGCTGGAGCCTTCTGACGACCAACTTGATTTTGCTTTAGAGGTGAATTTGCAGAGATTCTGGTCATATATTAATAAGTGATTACACAGACAAAAGACCTGAGGTCCACATTCAGCCCTAAATCGCTACCTGGTTCCTGACTATGACTGCCCAATGCAGGGATAGGCTGGTAATTGGTTAGCTTTTCAGAATCATTCCCCAAGCCCTAGTCTAAAGGAACAGTGGTTTAAATGCAGGGGTGTTTTCTTGCTCATAAGGATTGGACTACCTGGGTTCAACCTGTGGCTATATAATTTCATAGCTTTATGGCTCCGTCACTTTGTGATTTTTCACAGGCTATAAAATCTGGGGTTCATCTATGTGATAAGGATAATAATAGGGTTATTATAAGGAACACATTATATGGTATTTTTAAGGCATGCCATATGATGCCTGTTTGTGGGAAGCACCTAGCCAGTTCTAATATCAATTATAATTGAGCACTTGCTCTAGTTTCAAAAGCCTTTTTGGTTTGATTAAATATGTAGGGTAAAGTCCATTGAGCCTGAAATTTAGACTTTTGTATTTTTCAGGAAAAGATATATGCTTAAGGATGGATATAAATTCATTTATATCTATTTATTTAACTTGAAGTTGTTGGCTAGTTGATCAGTCTTCAAAAATATTTATTTGAGGGTGTAAGCCCCATCATTTAAATTAATATGTCTCACTGTGTGTATTTTGTTGATTTTTAATATCTAATATACTCATGTGTGAAACTGAACCCTATAAAAGCAGAATTTAAGCATTCCTGCCAAACGGAAGTGAATTGGAAGGAAGAGTAGCAGGGCCTTTGCAAGGAGAAAGTTGTCCTATCTCTCTAACCAGTGTCAGAATGTGGAAATGTTTACAAAATGCTCATTAAGAGAAAAAAGGGATTGGAAGATAGAAACAAAATCTGGTCCACAAGTTTACACTAAGGAGATAAGAAAGGCTAGGCCCCTATAGGAGATTTTGTTCTCCAATTACTGCAACCTGACTTTTGAAGGGGAGAGGAAGAGTGGTAGGGGGTGGGCAAGAGAGGAAGGGTTTCCAAACTTGTCTCCAGTGACACGAGGCATTTACGCTCTGCAAGATAAAACTGCCACTTAGAGCCCAGGAGAGCTAAACCTTTCCGAGTTGGCCTGGGGGCTTGAGCGGAGTCATGGGTGTCCCAGTCCTGTGCCTGTACACTGTCTTCTGCCTGGTGGCTCGCTCAGTTTCTGGCAGTCCCATCATGGGCCTTGAGCAGTCACCCCTGGAAGAAGATATGCCCCTCTTTGATGATGTCTTCTCAGAGCAAGATGGTGTTGACTTTAACATGCTGCTGCAGAGCATGAAGGATGAGTTCCTCAAGACATTGAACCTGTCTGACATCCCAGTGCAGGATTCAGCCAAAGTGGACCCACCAGAGTACATGTTGGAACTCTACAACAAATTCGCCACAGATCGGACCTCCATGCCCTCTGCCAACATCATCAGGAGTTTCAAGAATGAAGGTAAGTTTACATTTTTGTTAATGAGCTTTCTTCGTATGTTTTTTTTCAAGAAGCAGCAAGTAAATTTACAACACATGGGGATGATGCGGATAAGCACGAATATGTTCATTTAAAAGTACGTGGGCCGGGGATTTAGCTCAGCGGTTCGGTGGCCTGCCTTGCAAGCGCAAGGACCCGAGTTCAATCCCCGGTACCAAAAAAAAAAAAAAAAAAAGTATGTGCACACAGATACACAGGAACATTTGGGTCTATACATTCATACTGTCATTTCAGAATCCGAAAAGGTGCTTCAAAATGTCTTTTTATACAGAACCACAAAATGTCTATTATTTTGAAATCACAATGGAGTCTTTTAATTTTTTAAATTTGGACTTCAAATAATACAAGAAAATTACTGGTGGTCGGTAGCTATATCTCTGACACTTTCTAGATAAGACTCACTTTCTATTTTGGGTTTTAATTGCTGACAAAAATGTGTCAACTTATACTTGAAATTGGTGAACACAATCGCAGGCTGGAAAGTGGAGATTTTTGTATTGTTTAAACTTTGGGTCAGATTCCATTTTGTGACCTTATTTAAGAAATGTTCAAACAGAGCACAAACTTGCATTTGGAAGAACTTTCCTCAAATAGTATTGTTTTTAATGTGTTCTTGAGCACTTTTGAAAGTTTCCAGGAAGTGTGCATGACCCAGTTAATGATCCAGCTTATCATCTCTGTGTCTTTATGAAGAGTAATACAAAATACTTGTTATTTTTGGGAAAAGTGTGTCTCCCATGCCCACACCCTGATGATCTTTAAATTCAGACATTAGATCTAGCGAGCTAGTGAGTTAATGCTTTGGTTAATATTGTAAGGGAAGAAAAAAATAAAAATAAAAATAAAAATCTAATACCATGGTAGAGGCCAAATAAATTATTTCATTAATATTTTCCAATTATTCATTTATAGTCATTAAACAGATGAAAAAGACATTTTTACTGATGTTCATCAGATGTTCTAGAAAGCAGTAAGGCAGTGGCAAAGATAAAGCTTTGAATTTGGAATTTGGGGAGCAGGTTGACCTGGGTATTATGGATAATTGGCTTAGTTTATCTGAGCCTCAATTTCCTCATCAATGAAAGGGGAACAGTAATACATAACAGTTCAATGAATAATGAGTTTGTAGGTAACAAAGGCTGCTGTTTACTATGAAGTGCTGAACAAAATTTAGACTACTAATGGCTTAGTATTCTAGGCATTGGAGTAAATTTTGAACAGCTATCCCTTAGGTCTCAAGTTATAATTTGACTTTTAAATTTAATTGATGGATACAATGTCTACTTAGTAAGGTCTCTCTAATGGAAATGGCAAGCTGAGATTGCAGATTCATTTTAGAGGAGAGTATAAGTGGAAAACAAAGAACCTCCCACAGGGATCCTTCCTAAACTTCTCAGCCCGGAGCTCAAAGTGTTTAGCTCAGGCTGTGGGTGGTGGAGGGGTGAAAATGTTTGCAAACCATTCTTACTTCTCCCACGGAGGATCTGAATGATCAGTGTAAGCAAAAGCAAGTCTCTGAATGGATCCCCAGTCCCTGCATCTCTCAGTGTGTGGGAGGAAATTCAAAACATGAGGACAAGGGCCAGGGTTTAGCTCAGTGGTTCCGCCATCTGCCTCCCAAGCACAAGGACCCTAGTTCAATCCCCGGTACCAAAACACAAGACAAAAGAAAACAAAACACGAGGACACGAACCCCCATACTGGCCTCACACTCTTGACTGCTCTTACCTCACTACTGACCCTCTGGGTCAACTCAGTACAGTTCCCTCAGAGAGAAAGAACAACAACAACAAAATCTCCAAATTTAACTCATCTGGGGAACACAAATGGAAAAAGGATGCCTTCAATTCCTAGATTGGCTCTGCCTCCCAATTTTCTGCATTATTGTTTGATTTCTTCTGGTGCAAAATGGACAAAGGACAGATATGTACTTTATGAGTTTATTTTGAGAGCCATGTAAGACCATGTTTATAAAGCACCTGGCTTGTGGGATTTGTTAGGAACACTGGTTCTTTTCTCTGAAATGACTCCCAATACATCTACACATACAAAGAACTTCTCGGTGAGTTTATTTCTTTAAAAACAATTTTATTGTGGTAAGCAACATAAAGAAATCCATATATACTTAAAACATATAACTGGTAGGCTTTAAAGATTTGTAGTGATACATTCATACCCATGTTTATACAGATAGCCACACAATTCATAATAGTTAATTCTTGCAAGCAGTACGTTCATCAACAGATGAATGGAAGAAAACGTGATATTTATACATAATAGAGTACTACTCTACATAAAGAAAGATAAACTTGAGTCATCTGTAGGAAAATGAATGCACCTTGAGACCATAATGTTAAGTGAAATAAATCAGACACATAAGCTTATGTATAACATGATTTCTCTTACATGAGAAACCCAAATTGCAATACAGAGCAAAATAAAAGGTAAATGATAAAAGCTAGGGAGATAGATAGATCTTTCTTAAATGGGAAAGGGATCAAGAAATGGGGTGGGGGGGAAAGGAGATGTGAAAAAGAATTAAGATGTGTTATGAACATATACCAACTCCACACAAGGAATATAAATACTATGTACTGCAAATATGTACAAATAAAAATTATGTAACTCTCCATTGAAACTATCAGCATGACCAAATAGTGAACATATCCATCATCACCAAAAGTTTCTTTTGTAATCTGTTCTTGTCACTACAGTGAGATTTTTACTTTGCACTTTTCTTAAAAGGGGAACAACCAGTCCATTCCCAGTTTTGGACCTTCATGTTCCTTGTCCAAAGGAAGTCATCACCTCCATTTTTATGTTAGAGGGACAACTCCCACACTATTTCTGTTTCTTACCCAAAAACTTGATAATATGTTAAGGACACATGTCATACTCTTAAATCAATTGGTCTGGTGTCCAGAATCACCAACTAATTAATATTTTTAAGGTACTGTCTTTGTTTAAGACATCATGGTAGGCTAGAGACATAGCAAGGAGTCTGAGACGTGGTAATTGCCACAAGAATGATAGTAATCTATTTGGGAAGACCCATTCATAAAACGACAACTGAAATATACAGATGTAAATGAGAAATCCAAGGCAGCGACAGAGAATGTGTACTTACATGACTTACAATGGCCTAAGCTTTCAGTCAGAGACTTGAGGAAGGAAGGATCTCGGAAGGGGAGGCAGGAGATGGATGGGTGAAGATGAAGTGAGTGGCTTTCTAAGGATCAGAAGAGCATATTGAAGGTACAAAGAGCACAATGAAAGGAGTCTTTCTGCAAGCAGTGAAGGTATCTTCAAACAAAGGAATTTACAAATTCATTTACTTGTTCAACAAATATTAATTGAACATTTGCAACTTTTCATGCATTATAGAAGATGAATGGAAATGAGGCTGGATCAGGGACCTGGTTGGTCTTGAGAGCCAGGCCACTGAATTTACATTAATTCTATAGGTGAGTATTTTCCACTGACAGTATATAAGATAGCCGGAGTTGGTACCCAGAGGAAGCTGTAGTGCATGTCTATTTTTATTATTTTAGTACTTTTTTCTCCTTTATGGCACTGGGGATCGAACTCATGGCCTTGCACCAAGCCATATTCTCACTAAATTTCCCAGGCTGTGCTTGAGCTTGCAGTCTTGTGGCCTTAGCCTCCCAGAGTGCTGGGATTACAGGTGTGCACTACCATGCCTGGCCACTGTAGATGTTAAAAACAAAATCTTCACAGAGCTATCACTTCAAGGATAGCCTTTCGGTTCTTTTAAGAGATATTATGTGTAAAATAACCAGATACAGTTACAGGAAAATAATCAAAGAATATAATCTGCAACAGGGATCCTACTGAAATCACAAATTGGGTGCACAACGGGAGGAATGTTGCCAAATAGAGAAGCCCTCAATTGGTGGGCCTTAGCATTTTTGGTGTTGTGGGATCCTTTGACAACCTGATTACAGATGTCCTTATGGATTCATACTCATTACCTGAGGCAAGTATACAGGAGTATTGGGCACTCTAACATTCTCTGATAAGAAATCAAGGTGATGGTGATTGGAGGTAGATGTCTAAGACTAAAGGACTTTTATAAGAGTTATTTCATATAAATTCTGGAGTGACCTATATGTGCCAAACTCCATGCCAGAAGAAATAAGACTGAGAAAGTCAGTCAGTCTATCTTTAAGATTCATTTTTTCATTGTCAATTATCTCATTAGGATCTTATGTGCTATTATAGTTTATTCACATGAGAGCCACTATTCGGTATTTACACATGTGTGACTTATTTATTTCACTTAGAAGCATATCCTCAATATGTATCCATTTTCCTATGAATGAATGAATCTAATTGACAATGTGAAATAAGAAGAAAAGGGGCTAAAGGTGTAGGGAAAGTGGGAAGGGTAGGGGAAAGGTAATAAGGGAAAGGAAACGAATAGGAGAAAATGAAAAAATGGAAATAAAATGTTTGTAAATGGGGAGAGGAGGAGGGGGTGAAGGGAGGGCAGGGACAAAGGGAAAAAATGAGAACCAAGACCTGTCATGTAAAGGTACAAGATCCCAATAATGAATGTAACTGTAATGTAGAACTAAAATGTACCAACAAACTCAATGAGGAAAAAAAAAGAAACTATCCACAACTCCTTACACTATAGTGGAGTGTGGATCTAGCATGGTGAAACAGGAAAGGAGAGGGAGAATTTTTATAGAAAAAAAATATTACAGATTTTATAAATTAAAATTACATTTAATACATTTAAAAACTGAAAAAAAATCATTTTCTCTCTCCTCCTTATAAAGGAACCATATACCCTCAAATCAACTCCTGTGACCCCCTTGGTTTTTGGCTGTTGCATTGACCTTGTTATTCTTTGTGGTCTAGAGCCAGAGTCAGCAGATATTTTCTGTAAAAGGCCCAACCTAGCTAACTATGTTAGGCATTGCAGGCCATATGTTTTCTGTTGCTACTAACTCATAGAGCCAAAATAACTATAGACAACACAAAAACAAATGAGTGAGGCTGCACTTCAATAAAATTTTATTTTTGAAATCGTAGGCCATAGTTTATCAATCCCTTGATCTAATTGGAAGTCTTTCAGGAATACTAGGGCCCATCCATGTAAGAGCTCCACCTATTACACCTATTTCAGATATGAAAAGCCGTGAAGTCCTTTCCATTAAAAACTTCAAGAACCACTATTGCCACACATCCCATTTGCTAACTTTTTATTGGTTAGAAAAACAGTGCTCTCCAACACAATCTCCAATTTCCTTTTAGCTCTATAGTTCTGAGACAAATGAGCTACTCAAGCAAGGCTGAATGAGCTTTCTCCCATCCCTTAGGCAGTCATTTCCATATGTTTCTCAGTCTTAGCTTGGCATTTACCACTGAACTTTCACTGATTTCTTTGTCACTGAATGCTAACATTTTGCTTGTTTTCATTGCTCTTCTCTCATTCACTCTATATAGAGCTTCCTGTATGCAAAGACCCTCCTTTTACATAGATTAAACATCCATTTCTCTGTAACACATATTGCATATCTAATTTTTGCAAATCCTTTTTTTTTCAGATGTATTTTCTCAGCCAGCCACTTTCAATGGACTCCGAAAATATCCCCTCCTCTTCAATGTGTCCGTCCCTCACCATGAAGAGGTCATCATGGCTGAACTCAGACTATACACACTGGTACAAAGAGATCGCATGATGTATGATGGAGTGGACCGGAAAATTACCATTTTTGAAGTATTAGAGAGTGAAGGGGACAATACAGGTGAAAGAAACATGCTGGTCTTAGTGTCAGGGGAGATCTATGGAACTGACAGTGAGTGGGAAACATTTGATGTCACAGATGCCATCAGACGTTGGCAAAAATCAAGCTCATCTACCCACCAGCTGGAGGTCCACATTGAGAGCAGACATGACCAAGTTGAGGACATTGAAAGGGGACGACTGGAAATAGACACCAGTGGTCAGAATAAGCATGACCCTTTGCTTGTTGTGTTTTCTGATGACCAAAGCAGTGACAAGGAGCAGAAAGAGGAGTTGAATGAAATGATTGCCCATGAGCAACTTCTGGATCCAGACAACCTTGGCATGGATGGCTTTTCCAGTGGGCCTGGGGAAGAGGCTTTGCTGCAGATGAGGTCAAACATCATCTATGACTCCACCTCCAGAATCAGAAGGAATGCCAAAGGGAACTACTGCAAGAGGACCCCTCTCTATATTGACTTTAAGGAAATTGGCTGGGACTCCTGGATCATTGCTCCACCTGGATATGAAGCCTATGAGTGTCGGGGTGTTTGTAATTACCCTCTGGCAGAGCATCTCACACCCACAAAGCATGCGATTATCCAGGCCTTGGTCCACCTCAAGAATTCTCAGAAAGCTTCCAAAGCCTGCTGTGTGCCCACCAAGCTGGAGCCCATTTCCATCCTCTACTTAGACAAAGGCGTTGTCACCTACAAGTTTAAATATGAAGGCATGGCTGTCTCTGAATGTGGCTGTAGATAGAAGACCACTGTGGCTTATTTAATAACTGTAAATGTGTATATTTTGTGTTCTATTTAATGATACTATTTAATGAGGGTGTACAGATAAGAGAGCTTGCTGCCTTAGGGAAATGGATAGGTTTGTTTGTTGTAGGAAATGCATAGTTTGCTATTCAATCTAGTCCTTCCATTCTGTCTTTGTACTTGTCATTTCCTAGCAATGCTATCTCTAAGAAATGGCAGGCCTCCCCTACTTATCCCTCACATCAATTTAGAAACAGCACCCCCTGAGCAAAATACAGTATCAAAACACACATATTCATGTATGCATGTGTGTACATACGTGAATTTAGGAAACTACTCTGATTCTATCGAGGCAGGTTATGCTCATATACATGTATGATTCACTCCATGTGCATATATTAAAGGCAGTCATTTCTTCTCAGAATAGGATTTATGTGAAAAATGTTTGCATCAGGAATTTAACCACCGTAGGAAGTCTTATGCTTCTGACAAACTCTGGAGATGTAGCTATAGCTTTTGTTAGTTTCTACCATGGCTCAGAGCAGCAGGTCTGGTGAGGGAGGCTGCATGCTTGAGGGAAGAGGTTGTTAGATGCAGAAACCAAATGGTTTTGAGAGGCAGTGGACCCACAGGTATGACAGCAAGGAATGAGCCCATGGAACTTAGGTGCGATATGGGGCAGCCCCTGGTTAAGAAAGGAAGACACAGGGGACTGCAGGGTGAGCTCTGTTCTTCAGAAGATAGGGTGCCGGGCCCTGAGCGCTGCCTTTATTGCTGCAGAGGGTAGAGGAGTGGGAAAAGGAGAAACAGGAAAAGGGTACACATGCAGTTGTCAGATGAGTGGGTAGAGTCATAAGCAGTTCTAATTAGGACATTAAACCTCTTGGACCAGATACAAAGACCAAGAGAAGGACAATCAGGAGGCAACTGTTCATTGCATTCTTCGCTTCTCAAAACACTTTTCTCCACCACGTACTCTTCTTCCCTTGCCTCTCTTTTTCTGCTTCCATTCTTTCCCATATTGCATCTTCCCTTTCGTTTCTCTGCTCTCGTGTCTCTTATCCTTTGCCTATTCTCTTATGTTCCCTTTTTCATTGGCCTTCCTGACCCATGCCTTTGCTTTTAGGGAAAAAGAGTTGATGGTTTCATGTCTAGATTCTCCCTGATGTCTGACTTACTTTTATTTTAATAACATTCTTTATGACATGCTTTGGTCATAGAAAATACTTGAGGAAAAGAAAAAGAATAGAGCCAAAATTAATATCCATAAATTAGTGAACAGACACACAATGAAATGATTTGAAAGTTAACCCTTGAATTTTGAAGTCACATTTGCTCCATGGTAGAAACCCTACCACTTTCCCATTCTTCCCATTCTGCCCTCTTTCCAGGTTGCAACTGACCAGGACTGAAGGACTGAAAAGTATTTCTGGCAAGAAGGCTCTGATAGGCAGCTAGGTCTGTCCAACTACCAACAGCTAGAAGGAAGTTGAAACTTCAGCTCCCATCTTAGGGTTCCCATGCTGGCTGGTGGACTCTGTTCAGGGGGACAAAGCCAGCTGTTCTGGCATCTTCAGGCAGGTAACACAGGTGAATACAGATGTGCTCCTCCTTGTCCCGCTTTGATGTTTCTTTAGGAAGTCATATACTTTTTCTTAATGCTGGGAAATTTTCACCTTTTTTTTACAAACCTCTTAGGAGCATAGACTCACACTGCCCCAGCAAATACAAGCAAGAAAAGCCATTTTGACGGTCCTTTTTTCCCTAGTTGGACCTCAGCTGCAGGCATCCACTTCCACTGTTGGCTAGAGGGCAAATCTTGGAGAATGTTTGGCCCAAGGAACAGTGATATTTGCACTGCCGGTGGGAATATAGTGATTGACAACTTGAGATAACCAGATGGCCATGCAATTCAGAATCCCTCAATTCTAGGTGAGCCTCCATAAAACATGAGTGTGTGTGCCTGTGCTAGCATGTGTGTGTAGCTGCCTGTGGATAGCAACTTTGTACCCTCAATGAAAGAGGGTACAAACCCTTCCTACAAACCGGCCAAATAGCTCTTGGGATCTCTGTGTGTGTGCTGGCTGCAGCACACAGTGAGGAACCAGCCCCTGCACCCTTCCATGCCATCTGCTGGCTGCACCAAATTCCTGGAAAAACTTTGTCTTGAGCACCTAAAATCATTCTATTAAAAAGAGCTAAAAATTCAGGCTGTCCACAATAAGACTGCATTTATATATTCTTCTCCCTTGTAGAAAGGGGATACAGGAAAATCTTATACTGGTTATTCAAATGTGCTAGCTGTATTATTAGTACTCATTTTCTTTCTTTTTATTAGACAATGAAAAGAGAAAAATCATAAATAGGGGCAGTGGCCTTCCTCCTATGGGCACCTCTGTAATTCTACTTCACACATTAATATAAGCCATGGAATTGTTATTTAGAAAGCAGAGCCTTCTAATATTTTCTTTGGTCATAGGTTTTCCAATTTTGGCTCACACTCATGCTTTCTTCTCCTGTGCTGCCTCCTCTTCCTCCTTCTTCTTTTTTACACTTTTATGGCATGAGTATCATCCCTGAAGTTGATAAATGTAAAGAACTCATGAGGAAAATTGTAGCAGAGGTACTTGGGCAGCCCACAAATAAAATAGTCATGTAAGAGTCTAGGCTTCCTACTATTTATTGATTGATATATTTATTTTTGTAATATAGTGTAGAATACCAAATATTTTATTTTTATGCTTGTAATTCCTTCCCAGATAGAATAATTTGTGCTTTTTAAATATTATTCTTCTCCAGAGTACAGCTCACATGGAATGTATGGCCTGTACAGTAAGTGCATCTCTCACCTTTTAGATCAAAATATCCTGTCCTTTTAAGGAATCTTGCCATAAGCTTACCAAAGTTTTGTATATTTATGTCTTTAGGCATGACGCAAGCCCCTTCATATATTTACTGTTGTAAATAGTACAGGTTTAGCTTAAGTGTAGATGTTCCAAGAAATATTTAACCAAGAAATGTCATGTCATTCCATAAACTGACATTATCATTTTATCATGAAAGGAAACTATTGTGTGTCTGTGAGGAAATTTGATTGCTACTTACTGAACAGAGGAGGCATTTGACTGGAAGCACCCAAGGCAGGTGTCTCCCCTCTGAATGTACCCATTACCTTTACTTATCCACCAGTTTAGAGACTTTACTGAATAAATCTCTGATTAGACCAATTACTCTCTAAATGTCAAAAATATGAATTTAGCAGTTCCTTAAGCAGCCTCAAAGTTCCAATACTTTGTCAGTATATAATTCTTGATCTGGGAAATTAATGACAAAACAAAATTCTTACTAAGTATCTTGGTATTCTTCATAATTTATATTCTTTGAGTAACAGACATGTCTCATACAAAAGAATTTTATACATTACTTCTTACTGAATTCATCAACAGACCCAAAGCCCACTGGTAGTTTGGCTGAACCATTTGTCATTTATGCCCAAAGGATATTGCCTTTTTTAAGAATAGTAGCTCTATTTCAGAGTCACTATGGGTTGTGCTTCGCCTTTGCAGTTCTGTCTGCTCACGTGTGATGAAAAAGGAAACACTATGTCTCTGTGAATGTTTTTGCCCCTAAACGAGGGCCTTTGATTGGATGGAAGTAAGGTAGATAACACTGTACAATAGCAGCAAAAATAGTTTTTTTGCATGTAGAAATGTATTCATAAGTTATTGAGTCCACGGAGGAATGACCCTTTGTTGTGATCGACGTTTTTCGATAACACACGAGCACTGACTTGCGAGAGCCCTGGCTTGGCTGTGGTGCAAGCCAACCTTGCCAGTGCTCATGCAATGGGCTTCCACACCCTTGGGTAATCTGTCCAGACCTTGGACACCAAAGCAGCTAAGCACAATCACAGTCTTGGATAAAGCAAGTTCAGTACCCATGTCCAAATTTATGTAGTAATTATTAGGCTAAAATCAAGATAGAAGTAAATATTTTACACTGTGTTTATAAACTGAATGTGTACATTCAATGTCTTCTGGTTAAATAAAATGAAAAAATTATTTTGACAATAATCATTGGCAACTTCTTTTCCCCTAAAGTGAAATCTATTTTTATACCCCACCGCCTCACCCTTCTTTCACATTTCACTCAGATGGAATAAAACTTCTTATAGCATGAGTAGAGTACGGCCTGAAGAACAGTAAGTTGCTTTGAGTTCCTAAGTGGTCTCACTACAGATTGAGATTCTGTTGTTATGTGTTCTCCCATTTCATATGACTTGGAGTAAATCCCATGAATGCGAGAGACATAAACAGAAAATGAAATTACCTACATTTGTCAACAGTTGGGAAATATTTCTTTGAATTTCAAGTGAGGCATATTAAAGAGCAATTATTTGGGGGAAAATATTTAGGCTAAATTTCACTGATATTTGGTTATTATCCTTATAGAATCTCAGACTTAAGGAAGGCAGTTTTAAGTAAGGTAGTGTGCCCTACTGTCTTGAAGCATGCCAAAACACGTTTCATATTCTTTGCAAACATTAGTGATGAGAAGGGGACTGCTTTCTTGTGAGCACCTATTATATTTTTAGAGGACTCTGCCTTGACTATACTTCGTTTAGTCATTATGAGCTCAAGTCACTGAGATGGCACAAAGCTAAGTAGAGACTTCTTAGCAGTTCTTTCCTATATGGGACTAAAGTCTTCCCTGGTGTCCCTCAAAATCTCCCAGCCCATAATCTCTTATAGCTTCGCACACCTCTCCAACCTACCATCTCCACAACAGCCCCTCTGGCTTACAGATAGCTCTCCTGTCATTCTGAGTTCATTGTCCCATTCCCCTCAGTGGTATATGCTATGGTCTGAAGGTGTACTGGAAACTTAAACTCCAATTTAATGGTAGTAAGTATCAGGACTTTGGGGAGTTGACTGGGACATAAGGGATCTGCCCTTATGCATGGCTGAGTGCATTCGTGGATTAATGGGATACGCAAAAGTCCCTTTGTTATCAAAGTGAGCTCTTTTGGTGTGCTTGCTCGGTATCACCGTGTGATGCCCTGTGCCATATTATGCAGCAAGAAAGCCCTTATCAGATGCTGACCAGATGCCAGGTGCATGTGCCTGGACTTCTCAGCCTCCTGAAAGTTAGATAAAGGAACCTCTATTTTAATAAGATTTTAATAAATTCTGAGTAAGTTACAGCAGCTCCCCTCAGCTGATACAAACAGATGGAAAGCCTACACTAGGACTGGACCTGTCTCTCAGAGACAGCAGACCTGGTTAACAGACAAACCTTGCTGCCTATTCTAGAAGCAAGTTCATTCTTGTGACAGAATTTGGGAATTGAAGGGCAGAAGGAAAGCTCACTGTGGAAGGAAATTCTTTTCATCAGACCATCATCCTGCAGCTCTTTTGAGAGGACTTCTCCAATGTCTTGGCTTGCAACCTGCATCAGCAAATGTGTTAACAGGGAGCATGATCCTTGTCTTTGCATGAGCAGTGACAAGGTGAGAGAGTTATCTAGTCATAGAGGGAGGGGGCTGAGCACCCACGAAGGACATAGGCCAAGGCTGATCTAAAAAGGGTTGAAAAGCCATTCTGGTAACTTGGTTTTGAATTCTTTGGCTACCAATTCATTCTGTCCTGTAAATAATTCTATTTATAGATGTCTGCCACAGTGAGGGGCCTGGAACCATTCTCCACACATAGTCTGATCTGAGCATGGCTGCTCTGGATCACCTGTGCTGTTTTGGGGACTCTTTTCTACTGATCCCAGCCTCTGATTGCATTAGATACACACATGGCTGAAAGTTATTTTATTTGTTTATTATTTATTTATCTATATATTTTGGTCTTTTAGACAAGGTCTAGCTATGTCAATCAGGCTGGCCTTGAACTCACTAAATAGCCCAGGCTGGTCTCTGACTCATGGCAATCCTCCTGCCTCAGCCTTCCAAGTGCTGGGACTGCAGGTGTGTGCCACCACCCCGTCTGCAAATTATTTTGGGTGGTAGTTTGTTTAAACAGTAAGAGAAAAAGTTGCATTCAATACTCATATTACATATTTAATAATATCTTGCTAGTTCTAAGAATGTTCCTAATGTGAATTGATCTTTGTAGTGTTGTGGGAAAATAATGCCAAGATACTCACTGCGTGTGACCCTAGTCACATGGGTGAGAGCCCACTTTTGTTCAGAAGTGACTATTTGTAAATAAGGGGTCTATTTGGAGAAGGTGAGAGCTTGTTAACTTGGGTGGTTATAAATGGATTATGTGATTATCTTGGACTCACTCTCCCAAACTGTCAGCTTACAAGAAACAGTTCCTGCCCTCTCTTAACCTTCATCTGACTATTTACACAGCTCTGAAAAAATGCATCCCAAGAAGCTCCTGAAATGTAAGGACAACTCTATCCATTTTACTTTAAAATGTGATTCTGACAAACTCATAAAGACTTTAGGCCACTCAATTCAAATTCACAGGTTTTTTTTCTTTTTATTGAGTTTATTGGTACAATCTAGGTCTACGATATAGTTACATTCATTACTGGGATCCTGTACCTTCACATGATGGTTCTTGATTCTCATTTTTACCCCTTGTCCCTTCCCTCCCTTTACTCCCTCCTCCCCTCCCCATTTACAAACTCTTTATTTCCATTTTTTCAAGAAACAAATTCACAGTTTTGATGGGAAGTATGGTAACACCACTGTCAAACCAAGATTCAGTAGAAAGACTTCACACAGAGAATGTGGGCCAATTTTCTTTCACAATGTGGGAATGGTTTTAGAAAATCTACCTCCAACCCTTTATTAGTATTTCTGCCTAAATGTGTACCATAATCTAATTGTCAGGATAATGCAAATTAACAAATTTGGAGAATGGCCTACAAATCAGACGGTACTCATTAAATTAAACAGTTGGTAAAAGGCAAAGTAAGATTGAAGAACTGTTACAGACTAACAGAGACTAGTGTGGCGCTTGCCTGACTGAGATGGCATTCAAGTACAACCTGTGGTCACAGAGTGGATCCTATTTCTCCTAAAAGCTGGCAAAAAAAACCCAGGTACTATCTTTTGTTAAGCTCACTGCTGCCCAGTTGGTAGTATGTCCAACTTTATTAATAGTAAACTCCCAGATGATATTCATTTTAAAAAATCTCATGGATGGGTATTGTCTTTTTTTTTTAAGCAG